TTTCAGTAAGAAAGTGGTTTGAAACATTCTTATTCACACCTGAAGCTGTCTTAAATAAGACACGTGCCCGGGAGAAACGGTCTAATAAAACTTGACAAAGACTTAAACCTCGATGAAAACAAGAAGTTCTGTTCTACACGCAGCGGTGGGCATTAATTTTACTTTGAACTAATTACACATTTCTAACGACTAATTCTCTTCTGCACTGTTAGTGACCTCACCGTGTTTTTAAATAAACCTCTATCCTATCTGCCATTATCGCATAGTTCACGGATACACAATCGTAGATATAACCCCGTATCTGCGAGGGAAAGACCGTAAACGAAGCAAGAAATATCTCCTTATTTTCACCTACCGATGTTCTAGATACAAAAGGCATCCTTGTGCCTCCCATAAAAGTCCACTCGATCCACAACATTTGTCCGGGGAGAAATATCTAAACGCGTAACGTGATTAAGGGCGGCGACAAACGGCGCCACTTTTCACTGAGATATTGCCGGATCGTATCTGTGATCGCGCCATATCGCAGCCGGGTGTGGCCGGCGAGAATGAAACGAGATTAGGTACATATTTTTTATTCTGGTATAATATTATTGTTATTACTCAGTAGCAATTTATTTATTAGACAATATGAATTGAATGGAAAAATTTTAATCATTTCGACAATAATCCGGCTTGCTTGAGCGATTATTAGCAGGTATTAAAATCTTTAAGCATTCATCATCTCCTTGTTTAATTATGGTGCCGATACCATTTCTATAACCTTTGTTTAAATCTTTATCTTCTTAAGAAAGTAGGTAATATACTAGTACGAGTACATTAATTTAATAGACAACGTAAAGGCAGATCTATTAATCTAAAAGTTTTTACATTCTTTACGAATAAATTATTCTCATTATTTTATCGTTCCTCAAACTCTCGCCATCTATAAGGCCATGTGCACATCAGTCAGAGGCTCGCCCGGACGCGTATGGATGCCGGCCCCGACGCCGGACTAGTGCACGACGGGCCTTATTTGTGGCCGTTCGGGTCCCGCCAGCCTTCTTAGGGGCTTTGTTAAATGAATCGCTGTCTTGTATGACTCGTAACTTTGGGAACGTTTTACGTCGAAGATGCGCCTGAAAAACCCTAGAGAATGTGGCTTGTGGAGTATTATGTTTGTCAAGTCACTTTGTGAATGGAGACGTCGTTTTTGAAAGCAGCCTTTGAAACATTACGGTTTCCTTGTACGATTCATCAAGGAAAACGCAAATTAAAATGAAAACGTGTTCATGTAAAACAAAAATTAGTATTAAAATTAGTGACGTCATGTTGAATTTTTAAAATCTTTGTAAAGCAAAAAGTGAACATAGCTGGAAAGAATTTATCTATTTTAAAAGTTTTAATTTATTTTTATCTTCTTATACAAAATAAGAAATCTCTGAAACGTATCCATGATTTTGTATGGCCTGCATCCATTAAGTAACTTGAAACAGCTTTTAATAAGGAAAACGTATGAAAGTAAGGTATAAATATGAATCGCATGAAACCCTTCCTGTAACGTCGCACTCCCGCGGGACCTTTAGTGAACCGAGGTAAATTTATTATATCCAACGCCAAAAACGTGTAAGCTTTAAAACGACACGCGTTTTGTTAACTCTCTTAGCAGAATATGGCTAAGAATCATCCTTGAAATCATTATCACGATAGACAAAAAAGATTATGAAACGATTGTTGCCAAATATAATAAGGGAATGTGATAGGTATACTTAAACGGAAGTTTCTTGGTCTCTTAAGAATATCTGTGGTGTATCATATCACAGTAAACAAAATGAGATGACCATTTGTTTGTGCGTAATACAGAAGGAGTAAATGCAGTGAAGAGTTGTGATTAATTACAGTTATTCCTGAGTAGCCTTCTTCTGTAATAGTCTTCGGCGTGGGGCCACTGTACCGGCGTGGGGCCACTGTACCGGCGTACCGTGCCTCAGCTAATTGGCGCCATCTGAGCTAACGACGACCAATCTAGGCTAAATTGGACTGGATTTGCTGACACTTTGTAATCTGATCCAGCTTCTTACCAGAATTTGGTAATTGAACAATAATCGTCATTTATGTTATCAGAGAGTCTAGAGATAAACTGTTATCCCTGTTAATAATGATATCATGCCGTTTATTATCTAAATAAAAAGGAAAAACTGACTGACTGACATATCAACGCACAGCCTAAACGGCTAAACGTAGGCACTTGAAATTTGGAAGGGACGTAGCTTAGGTACCGTAGAGGTGCACTAAGAAAGGAATTCCCGAAATTCCCACGGGAACGTGAATTAGCGGGAAAATCTAAACCGCTTAAGTTAGACGCTTGAAATTTGGTATGCGGGTACCTTAGTAAACTTAAAGCTTAATTACAACAGGATATTGCAAAATTCCCAAAGGAACGGAAAAAACATTTGTATGGAAAAATCTAAACCGCGTAAGATAGATGAAGGGGTAAAACGGGATCCACGCGTACGAAGTCGCGGGCGGCCGCTAGTTATTTATATTTAGAAAACACTGATACTTGTTATTAGTTTCAACCGAATTCCATCCACTACTGGACAAAGGTCTCCCCTGCGGATTTTCAAAACGATCGGTCTTGAGCTGCCCGCGTTCAGGTGTTTCCCACGGCCTTTACTAGATCGTCATCGATCGTCGTCTACAATCATAAAGACAATGCTGCCTTTAGCTACATAAGTACGTAGAGACATAGATTGGTCGGCGTTTCCTTCCAATTCATAGCTATTCTGGTACCTACTTGATGGGCAGCAGTCGGTCGCAACTTCTGTGGCCTAATCTTAATAAATAGTTCACGTATAGCGTTCCTCTCTTAATTCCCTCTAGATTGAATACCGTAAGATTTCTCACGTGTCTTGCTTATATAAGTATTATTTCTCCGCGTCTGTTGAATATCTAACGCCACACAATCAACATTACAAATCGATATTGAACCAATTTCAGCTCTATCTCATCTCTAATAGAGCTCAAGATCCGACAGTCGACGTTAAGGCTTGTGGAAATTTACCTTTTTTGCTTGACTGAGTCTTTTCCAAACGGTTTTAGGGGAGAGAAAGGAGACTTATACATAAATAATAATATGCTTCATAAACTACGCAAACTGCCTATGAATTTTAAGTCACAAGAATTCGACTTTCCATGACCTGTCCATAAACTAGTTTTGGAAGTTTCTTTTAAGTATTTAAAAGAATTTCTATATGAAAATGGAAAAATAATAGTTATTAATGTTTTTTTTATATAAAAAAAACACTAAATTGATTAGAATTTAAATAACATTTTAAAAGTGCCACCACCCTTGTTTTTTGACGGATGATTATCACACATTGCTTATCGCTTCTCCATAAACACCTACACCCCTGAAGTGACGGTAAATTCCACGGTTACGGTTCACTAACAGATTGCTGGTCGTCCCAGTAATGGGTGTTAATAATTTGTTATTGAATTGGTGGCTGGCGCCGGGCCAGTTGGCCTCCCCGGTATATACCGTCTATGTAGCTCTACTTTATTGATAATACCATTTGAATACGCATGGCGCTTCACTTATCAATTTTCGGCTGCAGTGAACGCATGCAGTCCAAAAGTTCGAAACACTGAAATTGTTATACGCGCAGTCTGCTTATATTAGAGACTCGATAGGTAGTGATTAACTTTACTTGAATAATGAAACTTACAATCAAAAAGTTGGCTACACTAGAACAGTCGTGAATTAGTCGTAAAGCTCAGTGTGTGCTTTTGAATTATCCTTTTTTTTTCCACCAGTCGGAGGGTATCCGATCTGTCTAGGCACAGACTTGTCTGTCTTGACAGTCTTTTAGTGAAAGTGGCAGTGGTATAAAATTCTTTTAAAAAATTTACTCACGAAACTGATTATTAAATATTTCCTTTGCAATTCGCTAATTAGTGGAATCTGAGTATTATTTTGGCTTAAATTGTATGCCTTTTGTTATCATTTATTTCTTTAGTGTCGACACTGCCTTCCCCTTCATATTTGTTTCAAGTAACTGTCCTCACCATAGGTTGTCTGGAAGAGATCGCTTCATAGCGATAAGACCGCCTAATTGTACCTTGTGTGTTCCTTTTCTTCTGTTATGTTATTTGTTTGGTGTTCGATAAAGTGTATTTATTATTATTATTATATCCAGTCTCATAGCTTGCACATATTTCATACTGCATAAGATATTCTTCTTCTTTTTAGCAAAGTCTAAAAGATGTTTTAGTCGCCGAAAAGGAGCTGCCGATCTAATATCTGAGTTGCTTACAAGAAGTTTGTTTAATAGCAAGGGCCACGCGTTGAACGTTAAACCGTCGTAAAATCTTACCGTGCCGCTTAACTTGCCCAACTCCTTAAAAAAGGACGAATTTTCTAAACAAACATCCAATAGAACGCACTCCTGCCACTTAATTACCCAAACAAGTACTTACAAACTCGATTCTTTGTCGAGGTTAAATTATAAAAAGCAAAAATTCTTCGGCAAAAATTCAATTAGGTTTTTTGCCAGGCAGATGCTCCTTTAGTATTAGAATATCATGAATATTCAATATTGTGCCGCTCAAAGGATTTTTGTCGAAATTGTTTTATCCTTTGATGACGTAATGGCATTATCTATTTTTGAGGAGTTGTTTTGATTACGCTTCCCTTTGTTGTTGAGGTTTGAAATTGCTGCATACTTGGTTTGATAATAACATTTTTCTCAGAAAATATGCCTGAATTGATATCGAATGGTATCACAAGAAATAAATAATTTGTAATAATAAAATAGTGAGTGCCACATTTTTTGATTTTTTATTAGATAGGTTATGTTAGTAATTCGTATTAACTGTTGAGTGCTACATGAATGTGAGGGTGAAATAGTGGCAGCCAATGTGGGCTAGGTATATTAAATGTTGATGGCATGGAAGTTATTATAAGGATAGTCTAAGGATCAGGTATTCATTATAAGGACTGGAAAGATTCAAAAACTTACAGCATTGCTTTTTGTTGACGAATTGATAGCCGGATTCAATTTTAAATGTATACTGCAGCTCCTGTAGGTCCTGGATACCAGATACAAGCTTCGTGGCCTAATCAGGAAACGATATTTGAATGCTAGACTTACGCGGCGTGCACTGACTCGAATGTCCTACCGACTGCGTCAATTGAGTGAACTACAGCCGGAGGATAAAAAAAAAACAGAATCCTCACTAATATTATAAGTACAAAAGTAATTACGTCTGTCACTTTTTCATAATTACCCAGGTATTTTAATACCAGGTCGAAACGATGTCTTTCTCCGACAAACCGAAATTCACGCGGGCAAAGCCGCGGGTGAAAGCTATTTTAACTGTTAAGAAAATTACACTTTTAATTATTACTAAAACGTAACAACTGTTCAAAGTGTGAATAAATTATGAAATGATTTCTATTTCTGTAATTGCATGAAGACCGCATTTACGTCATAGTGGTACACGTTCCGTGGATGCTGTACTACCTACTTAGTGCATAGATCCGTGTACAACATTATCTGGGGTCGATGTTATCAGGGAACTTCCTACATTAGCAGCGCTTAATAACATCTAATTATGTAAGTAAATAATATAGTAATCTTAACCGGCTATTATTATTGATCACGTTTGATAAGATCTAATGACATTCTATAGATACACGTGTGTTTAAGGCGATTAGAGTCCTCAATGACCTTGGGCGTTTGACCTTCACGCCGCGAGCAACACCCGCGCACCCCGCACCAAAAACTCCGATTTGACACCGATCAAAAATACACGGGCATAGGTAGATACAGAATAGAAGCTCTTTCTTCATACATTACTGCCTATTATTTTAAACTTAAATTGATGAACCTTGATGTCGGTGTCATTTAACTCAGGCGTAAAGGTATTTAATAAAAATAACAAAATCCATGAACATTTTGTGCGGGATAAAATTTTATTTTATTTTTTGTAAATTTTCTAATGCTTTTGTCGGTTCACACGTACTCTATGAACAATTCTGACATAAAATCTATTGTCGAACAAAAGCTGGGTTGCACCATCTTACTTCAACTTTGACAAGCGTCAAAAGTCTGTCTAACTCCATACAAAAAACACCGGTTATCGCCAAAGCTACGGTCAAAGTTAGGTCACGTCAGGTAGTGCAACTTAGCCAAAGAAAAAATTCATTTTGATCGCTAATGTCAGTTTGTAGCGAGTAACACAACCTCCCCGTCTGAAGGCCAGCGGCCGACTGCCGCCCGCACCCCGCGAAGGCCCCCTCAACAGCAAAACGTTCGGAATTTATAAAAAGTAAAATTTATGAATGAAAGTAATGTTCGATTGAAAAACGCAACGTGTCATTTAAAGATTAAAGAATTCCCAATCTATTCGTGCAAAAATCTTTTAAATTAACATAGCCGTTTTGGAGGAGTAGGGAATTTAAGTAAAAAATCGATGTCCCGTATTTATTTTTTTAATCCAAAACAAAGACACGTAGCGAAAATTCAAACGTCACAAATGTAGTCCTTGAACTGTTGTATAACATACATTTTTTTCAACTATTTCTGTCCAGCAGTAAAAGAGGAGTAGGCTTTACAAAATGCCCATTTAGCGCGGATTGAGGACACTAATCGCCTTAACTTAATTAATACCATTATTTTACGGTTTTATCAGTATTTGGCTAAGAACTGTAATGCTTGCGAATGAAGTTTAACAAATAACGACCTTAGAACATTTAGCGGCCCTAACAGAATACCATCTTCGCCCAGCAGTCAGTGTTTTGCCCTCCCCGCCTAATTTAACATTATGTTGGCACAAAGTGGCGAAATCAAATGGAAACCCAGAGATTCCAGCGCTCGCCATTTTCTTTGTGAGCGCCAAAACAGGTATTTAACCCGAATATTTTGTGCGTCGAGCCGAATAAAATATTTGAACCATAATTATTCAAGTTGAGCCTCTTTAGGAAATTTGCTACCATTCCGAAGGGGCGTACTATCGGTTTTGAGAAGCCTTTCGAGGTCGACGTGGAATTACCTTAAGTGGTCTTTGAGGACTATTACTGTACTCTACAATAAAAGTGTAAAAGTGCTCCTTTAAAAGCAAACTCAATAAGTAGACTATACTAAGTAAGGTCGGTCTACTTGGATGTGTTGCCAATTATTATAGAATAAAACTATCATCCAATTTTGATAAACCAATCAACAAAGTGTGAAATCCTGGATGATTTTTATATTGTCATCGAGATAACAGATTTGATACATATCAGTCATGGGACGGTGGCATGTTGGGTGCTACGCATAACATGACGACGCATTATGTAGGAGGTACACATTAAAAATAGTCAATAATTATTATAAATATTATCATTAACCAATAACGTTACACCACATGTTGCAATTAAAAAAATTAAATCTTTAGCTTCGTATTTGGCCCGCCCAGAATGATATTACCAAGTGTGAACGCGCCAAGTCTTCTCTGCAATTACTGTCACTACTACATGCCATTAGAACATGACTCATACTGATAGACACGAATATTATAATGAAATCTGTGTTGATTGTAAATTAAACATATTGTTAAACAGTTGCCGGTGGCTACCTTGAATAGTCGCAGACCTAAGTAACTGATTAGTTTAATTAAATTATTCATGGTACTGATAATAACAACTATCCTGTTATGTAGCTTCGCTTGATAAGCTTTCGATATTGTTTTCCAATGATTTTCTAGTAGATTGTGATAAGAGGTTTCCTTTGGTTTTCAGAAAGCAAACTACAAGGCTAACGAGGCTTATTTCCAGCTCTCTTTCCCAACACTGCAACTCCTGTAATATTATACAACTTGGCCTCTAATAAAACCCAAAAAGTTAAAGAAGACCATCGAAAGTGATTTGTGTTTTTCTGAAGACTGCGAGTCTTCATAAGAAAAAGACGTTTCGAAAGAAGCTAGCAACTGATGGTAGGGCCGCGCGCCGTTGTTCGGCGGACGGACGTTAATTTCACTCGTTAATTACTATTTATTAGCAGCCCAACAACTTCGCTTATTTCGGAGTTTGTTGGCCTCCTCTCAATTGCTGATTGCACGTTTTCAAAGTTATCAAAGCATAAGGTATAAACTTGTAATCTTCGTATCCAGGGTAACTTGTAAATAACATTATTTTGTTAACGTAATAAATAAGGTTTTGTTGCTACATCTTATAATTCTACTATTATTGATATTGGCAAAGCCTTTGCTACAATATTTTTCTCGAAGGTTGACTTATCATAAAACATAATATAAATTAATTAATGATGTAATAAGCTGCGTTTTTTTGCCATAGAGAATAATCATTTCTTGCAACGTCTGTAGGTAGAAATATCATGCATCGTCCTACTAGATATCGGGTAACAACAACGTTCTTACATGAAAACATAGTTGACGTAACAAGAAATCGATAATTAGTGCCTTACCTAAAGTTATTTATGCAAGTAGCAGAATACATAAACAGCAATTACAAATGTAGAGTTTACGTTATAGTATTTTGTAAAAACTTAATCTATTTAGGCGTCTTTTAATTGTAAATTCGCATTTTCCTAAATAGAAACATCCTCTTTTGTCAATAGAAATAAAATTCGAAACGTTACGACGAAGAGCCATTTAAACTTTGATCATCAAAGGTTATAAAGCTATAATCTTTTAAAATGTCCCAAACACAACAGAGGGCCCCCGCTGAAAATCAGTTTCAAGACAAGCCCTGGCGGTCTTGATGTACGCTGAGCGGGTGCCTTTTTGTCAGAGGGGCACAAGCAGTTGATTGTCCGCTTGTTTATTTCTCTCTGTTTTGATCTATGTCTTACCTGCTTGTATACCTTTCTTGCAAATAAAAAGTTTTCTATTCTATTCTATTCTATTCAAACTCTTTGTATAGAAACTCGTTATCGAATCAATGGGATCCGTACAATGGGGTGTGATTTTGTGAAAATAATTAACCACGCTCCGGCTCGCTCCGGCGAAAGAAGGCGAGTTTGAGTTATAAAGTGATTAATACGTTCGGGTGTTGGAAACGGGTTCGATCCGGTTCGCTCCGCTGCTTTCCAGATCCGAGCGGCTCTTAGTGATGGGACCGGATATTTATTGATCCATTTTTCGTTTGTTTTTGTCACTTGAAACAGTTGTTATCATTATCTTCACTTCAAAGTTCAACATCATATTGAGTTGAAAACATTGAAGCCTTATTAATTTCATTTAGTAGGTACCTATGTCTTATCCATATTTAAAAATTATAAACTTTCATTTTACTGGTATTATGATACAGCTCATATTAAAATGTTATACTAATGGACATGAAAGTCGATTTCAGGGGCGTTTTCTTTGTGCTACAATACAATATAGGCTTTAATGGCTTTATGCATCTTATAATTACTTTAATACCTAAGTTATTATAGATATAAATAAATAAATAAATAAATATCTTTGGACATTTTACACTGCGCCTCTAGTCCCAAACTAAGCAAAGCTTGTACTATGGGTACTAGACGACGATAGATAGTGATGGGGATAAACTCACCTAATATAACTAATTATTTTAGGTGAGTTTATCCCCATCACTATCTAGGCCGGCAACATGGCGGCCACTCATCGGTCCAGCAATAACGGAGGATGAATTTTAATCTCATTAGGGACCCCCGTGTCGCGGCTCAACAGTTATCATTTTAGCGTTCTATCACAGAATAATAATAAGTAGGTACTACGATAGAATTATTCATTACTAGCACCGCACATCACTATAAGAGAAGGCTTATTTCTTATTAAACAGTATGTTAAAAACTCCAATCCAATTTACCCCGATTACTACAATTTGTAAGAAAAAGTAAAGAAACACTGGAAATCACTTGTTTGATCTTTTAATTATTATTTACTAGCTGACCCGGCGAACTTTGTTCCGCCTTAATGGCAATAAATAAGCAGACTTTTTTTATTTCGAACGGGATAAAAAGTATCCTATGTCCTTCTCCTGGCTCTAAACTACCTCCCTGACAATTTTCAGCTAAATCGGTTCAGCCGTTCTTGAGTTATAAGTGGAGTAACTAACACGACTTTCTTTTATATACAGTCGTGGTCAACTAATTAGGGACGTTATATGACTAAAACACAAGACCGTCTCTTCAGTCCGAAAAAAAAACATCGGATGAAATACGATTTATCTTGATCTCATCAGAAAACAGCACATTTATCCATTGAGCAAAAGCCTAATGTCCATACTTTCTTGCAAACGCCAATCTTGCTTCTTTGTGTTCCATCTTCAGTAGTGGAACTATTCGAGGAACTCTTCCTACAAGCTTTGCCTCCACCAGTCGCCTTCCGACGGTCCTCGCAGATACTCCAGCAGTCGGTTCTGGTCCAAAAATCTCGCTCTTGA